GTACCATTCCATATTTTCATTACTCCTCAATCTTCTCTCCTTAAAATTATTCTCTTACAGACCCTGTATGGGGTAAAATGCCATTTAAAAGATTCTTCAATCAACAGGTATTTTATGACTGTCACATTTATTAAGAACTGCAATAAAAATGACAACTCCATCATCCAGGTTTCTGAAGGACAGAAGCAGCTGTCACACCAGCCAAAGTCCCAGACAGACACATAATGGATAACATTTTGTCAAATATATTATTTTCAGCTGTGTGGACCTTTCCAGCCATCAGCATCCTTTATTTGTTTCTCTTCGCTAGATCCCTCTGGACTCTCCCTTGAGTCTGTAAAGTGTGATTGAAATATAGAGTGTATCCTGGTTACTAACACATACATAGAATCATAGACATCCTCAGCTGGAAGGGATAATCAAGTCCAACTCCTGGCCCTGCACAGGACACCCCAAGAATCCCACTACATATCTGAGCGTGTTCTTTTCCTAACATCCAAGCTAAGCCTCCCTGACACAGCTTCATGCTGTTCCCCCAAGTTTTATTGCTGGTCACCAGAGAGAAGAGATCTGTGCCTGCCCCTACACTTCCAATCATGAGAAAGATTTAGGCAGTGAACAGGAGCACTGTGGATTACTCCAGACAAGACAGCATAATTTGGGTGCCTGGTGCCTTTTCGCAAGGGCAAACAGCTCCGAAGTGCACTCATGTGCTGGTTTAAAAGTTAACCAGCAGGGGAAATGAACTCAATTCAAAAGAGAGATTTAGAAGTCAGAATAACAATTTATTAAAATAATACAAGAAGTACAGTTAGACAGACAGAGAATTGGTTTTAACCCGCAAAACCCAACATGTAGAACCCGGTACCCTGGGGTATGAACAAAAGTGGTGTACCTTGCCCTCCCCCCCAAGTCCAAAGTAAAGGGAGAGGGGAAAAACCTGCTGGTGGGAGAGCTGTTGCAGTCTGGTCAAAAGTGGTGATTGCAGTCCAGTTGAGGGGGGTGGTCTCAGTCTGCTTGAGAGCGGTGGTCTGCAGTCTTCCTCTGGATCCCACGAGCGGTGGAAAGGTTCCGAAACTCCCAGTTTCTAGATTCTCCAGTTCAGGCGGGAGTGCTCAGTCCCTCCCTCAGAGCGGGGGATTGCATAAAAGGGCATGAAGATGCTCAGTCCCTCCCTCAGAGGGGGGAATTCCATAAAAGGGTATCAGAGCGGGGAATTCCATAAAAGGGTATGAGGACAGGAACATCCCCCCACCTCGGAGGCCTCCACTGACAACAGTTTCTGGGGAATGGCATGGAAGGCTATAGAATACACAGTTTTGGGTTACACCCATCCAGTGATGAATTGGTCCCAGCCGTTCTAACCAGTACAACTCACAACACCACCAAAATTCACGGTTGGTCACTATTCCTCCCACTATGAGCACAGGAGTCTGAAGCCGCTGGAAGTACCCCCGTGTGTGGATGGCTGACCTGTGTTTGGGATGGTTGCCATGGTGATATTTGCCAAAGCCAAAACACAAACTAGGAGGTCTTAAGACAGTCAATGGCTTGGAAATCCATACTAGAGATCTGTGCTGCTTTTGCCTACAACATATACACACCTTCTCGTATGTGTGAGCAATATTGTAGACAGAAATAAAAATATGTATGTATGTGTAATGACTTTAATGGAGAAGACAAGCAACAGAGAGCATAGTCCTTAAAAAAAACACATGTAGCAAGAAGCACAGTATGTGAGGCAAAAAAATATGAATAGCTGTGCAAAAAAATAATAATTTTGTCTATAGGATAACACCATATTTCTGGTCTTGAGTAAACAAGTTTCTAACTGAAGTCAACGTGACCTGCAGGTAGAGAATGCTACAAACTTTCAAGTACTGCTTTCTAAAGGCATTTTGTCTCTAGATATCTTTTTTTTTCCACAAGTGAAACGATTTTGTGTTTTACTTTCTATTTAATGGAAATACATTTGCAACGTTTCTTTGCCATGACTATAGGCATTCTGCACTACTAATTTAGATTTGTTTCTTTTGTTATCCTCTAAATAACTTGCTCCCTTCGCATGTATAGCTTTTCCAAATTGCTCCCTTCAAAATTCTTTTTTTTTAAATTTCCTATTAACACTATTCTTCAAAAAATAAAGGCAAATTAAAGAAATACCAGCCACTAGACTGCAACTAATCAGTGAGATACTTCATATTTCCAGTCTTTTGAATATTGTTGAATGCTTCCTTACAATGGATATCAGATAACTTTCTCTGTGTAGCACGAAGGCAAATTTCAGGCGAAACCTTATCACTGCACATAAAATACTGCCCAGTCTTCTGCTTTACATTCATGCAGCCCCGTTCTTGCTTGCTATTAGCAATTCAGCAAATTGTAAAATAACAGCAATGCTGCACTACTGCATCTTCCTTGAGGAATATGCTCCCCCTAGCACTTGCATAAATGTTATCCCAATCAATAACCTAGTAATTAAAGTCACCACCATTTTGACCTTATTACAAGACTCCTTATCTGACCAAAAAAAAAAAAAAGTTTCTTGCTTTACTTTTTCAAACCGCCTTGGAAAGAGAACAAGCATCATTTGGTCACCCCTTTGTTCTTTACCCCCACGTTAACTATTGCTGTAATGTCACTGAAAATCATCCTGCTTTTCTTTGCAGACACAGCATAATTTTCTTCCTGAGTGTCACTTATTCCTTTTTCATTCTTGGTTTATCAATAAGCCATGAATTGTGACTTCGATAATACCAGTAGTAGCCTCTGGTGATGAAGGGCACCATCCTGCTCTTCACCCCCAAGGAACTCCTTTGGATCAGTGGCATGGCACACACCTGCCCATCCAGCCTCATATTTCTCCAGCCTTTGCTATCAAATACCTCAACTTCAAGCTAAGCTTATTGCATCAATATTTTCCCATGGAAATCACAAAAATCTTACAAACATCATTTGATGGTAAATCAAAAACCTTTTCCCCTCTTTCTCCCGAATAATATATATAAAAATTGCACTAAAGAAGTGGTTCATACTGCCAAGGTACAGTACCACTGTAACTGTCTGACAGAGTTGTTTGTCCATTTTTTCCTGCAACCCCTGTCCAAAGGGAGAATGCAACAAACGTAAACCAGCACTTTGCCATTCTGGAAGAGGAATGCAGAGATGTAGCCCTGCTTGTTGGTACCAGCTGTATTTTGAGAGGGCATGACTCCCAGCCAAACATGTCAAAGCAGCTGTCTACCCTAAGTGTGTGCATCCATGATTGGAGAGATATGACTCTGCTAATCCAGTCTTGATTTGAGAACACCGCCACAAATAAGCTTCCAGGACCATAAAAAAAGAGTCAGTTGAGGCTGCTTAATCAGGTAGAGATGATTCATTTGAGAAACCCTGCGCCGTGACCTTTCATGAGTCTCTGAGCTCAGACAGGATGTCAAATTTTTATGGAGAAAAGAGGTGTAATCAACTAGTGCTTATGATGACCTTTTAATAAGCGAATGGTTGAGGCAGGCACGTCTTCTGAACAGAATGAGAAATTGGATTTGTATGTGTGTCTAGTGCTGGCTGGGGAAGGTGATGAAATCTTGTTCTGTTAGTCCACTCCAGCCAAAATATAACCTGAAGGGAGGCTATAGCAAGCTGGGCATCAGCCTCTTCTCCCAGGCAACTAGGGACAGGACAAGGGGGACATAGCTTCGAGGTTCGGGTTGGACATCAGGACGAATTTTTTCACACAAAGGGTTGTCAAGCATTGGAATGGGCTGCCCGGGGAGGTGGTGGAGTCACCACCAGCGGAGGTGTTCGAGAAACAATCGAACGTGGTGCTTAATGCCATGGTGTGTTTGACATGGTGGTGCTCAGTTATAGGTTGAATTTGGTGATCCCAGAGGTCTTTTCCAAACCTAATTGATTCCGTGATTACCTGGGGTTCTTATGGAAGCACTGCAAGCTTCCCCAGCACTGCATGGATGAGGTGGTTGGTGAAAACGCAGTACCGGGAACTCGCTGTGCACTAAACATACAATTAAAACCCAGTTTTGACTAATTTCATAGAGTTAGTGTATATAATTGACAAGGTCAGAGGTTGGACTCGATGAGGTCTTTTCCAGCCTAAACGAATCCGTGATTCCGTGATATACACAAATATTTACACTCGCACGGCGGGCACAGCGCACGGGGCGAGGGGGGCGCAGAACGGGTAAAACCCGCAGAGGTTCGTACACCCTGCGAGGACGCCAGGGTCGGTCACACCGGTGGATGCGGGAGCCGCCCGGCTCGGAGGGCGCCGGGCAGACGAGTCCCCCGCGTCCGGCACAGCTCCCCGTCACCCCGCGCTCCGCCCCGGGCGGGAGGGGAGGAGCGGGGGGTTCCCCGCGGGAGCCGCTGCCGAGCGCAGGAGCCGCGACAGGTGCGGCGGCGGCGGCGGCCCCCGGCCGGGAGCAGCGGCCAAGCGCGGCCGGCGGGGCGCGGGGCGAGCAGGGGCGATGCGGCACCTGCCGCGCATAAAAGTGATGCCGCGGCGGGGCGGCCCCGGGCGCGATGCGGGGCGGCGGGGGCGCGGCGGGCGCG